TTCTTCTAAATGCTACTTTAAACCTTGTTTTGTGCAACAAATTTCTCCCAAGCTGTTAACTTTAATCTACCAGAGATAAAAATGCATGCATCAAGTGTATTTGAGGAATTTCTTCCGAAGTTCAAAATCAGAAAATCATGATAGTAACTACACTTAGTCTCCTATCCTAATACAGCGTTAGAATCCCTCGTGTCCAACCCTCCACATTGCGATATATAAGGCTCCCTTAAGCTCTCTAAACCCTGGACCTAGACCAAAGATCCCTTCCTAGCATATATGTAGATGCAACATGAAAAATAGAAATAAACTATCAGCTTCAGTCGATGAGTCACCAACATGCATAAATCTACCGAGCAGAAGCACGAATAACAACAGAGCAATATGTTTCAGATCACAAGTAGGGCCAAAATCATGCATATCAAGCTTCAAAACATTCAAGAAGAGAATCTCTGTTCCAAAAAAATCCAAATTACAAGAAGAAAAAGATGTGGAAAGATGAGATACATCAAACATATTGCTATGCCTAAAACAAGAAAGTCATCAAACCGTGCATTCTAAATGACAAATGCAATGAAAGAAACCATTGAATCCGCCAGCCAGTATAGTCAACTCCAGTATATTATTCACAGACCAAAACTCCACTACAGCACAACAATAACAGCCACATCCAGGATGAACTTTGATCTCTACGATTTCAAGAAACTAATATGGAAATCAGGCATACCAGCAACACAAGCAACACCAAAGCCCCAATCCAACAAATCCATCTTCCTCTTCTCCGCTTCATCTGCTTAGCAGAAAAAAGAGCATTGGTTCCACCGTGAATGTAAGCTCCAGCATCAGCCACATTCTGTTCAATATCATCCATTTGTTCCCCTTGATTTTCAACCATCATTGCCATGTCCAGGAAAACTTGATGGAGTTCTGTCAAGCTTCTCTGCAAGTCCTTCAAGGCCTCATGCCTCTGCTGATTCTCCATTGCCAGCTCTGCCTTCCCCTCAAAAACTTTGACCTGCCCACTTTCCAAAATCATCTTATCAATCACTTCCTCACTTGCTTCCTCTCCTGTGGCATTATAATACCTCCTCTTGAGACCTTCTTTGTGCTCTTTAACAATCTGTTCTCTCAAGGACTGAAAATCATTCGTCATATCTCTCAGCTTAGCTCTCAAACCATTAGTCACCGAAATCCTCATTCGATCAACAGGGCTACCTTCCTTGTACTCCACTGAAACATTTCGATTAGCCACATTAGAGCGGTCAAGCAACTCCAATCTTGCTTTGATGCCTTTTGCTTTCCTCAGAATAGCTACCATGTCAGCATTAATTCTATCTCTTAGCCCTCTAAGAACTTTAGCACTGTGAGTAGACTTGGTTTCTTCATTCAGGTCCTGAAGATCAAGAAGAAGGTTTGTGATCTCTTCCATATCAGCCTTGATTGCAGTCACTTGTTCGAAAAATTGGGTGAGGTTCTGTTCATCAGCAGGGTCAAGTTTGCCCATTTCGAGGTCGGGTTCCGATTCAAGGTCTTTCATGGCCTGTTTCTTGAGGTCCACGTAACTGAGGAATGACTTAGTCATTAGATCATTCATCTTTGAAGCAATAACCAAATACCCACCTGAAAGAAACCTTCAGTTGCTTAAAAACTCTGTTGAAATAAGAGATTACACTTTACAACTGTTTGGTTGCTGAGAAAATATCTTGAGTAAAAAACAAAGCAAGTCTGAAATTTCTATTTAACTGCTGTGAAAATTTAGTTGTTGAACTTCCCAAGAACTCTACAGTTTTAAATATATACTGAAAATCAAAGCACTTAAACTCAGAATTTTTATTACATTCTTGATACAAAGATCTAGCACAACATTATGTAATTTATGATATTTCATATGAGCTATGAAACAACAAAAAAACACAGAGAAAAACGAATTTGAAAACATTGAAAAAAGAAAAAAACTGAGAAAGGGTAAGAATCAAACCTCGAATAAAACGATAAAAGTGCAAAGAAGGAAAGTCAACTGCTCGAACCCTTTCTCTGGAGAAGAATTTTGGCGACTGAAGATTCAGGATCGACGAATGCGCTCACACCTTTTAGAATGGGTTTGGTTTCTGCTACTTTTTTTCTTTTCTTTTTCTTACTTTCAATTTTGAATTTTCAAAATTCAGAAAGGTTTATATAATAGCCGTTATGTTTATAAACTGTTGAGGTCCATGGTGCCCATTCATGAATTGACGTCGTTAAGTAGGGCGTTAATCCCTATACCTCCATCAGTTATGTTAATGTGTGTGTTTTTCTTTTCTTTTCTTTTTTTCTTTTTTGCGTCAAAAATGTGTGTTTTCACTACCAATAATATATGAGTAATGCTACTCTTATTACAATTATATACCACATTTTCATTCCACCTTATATTGCAGATGAAATAAGCAGCCACATCAATTAAAAAGTGTCCATAAATCATAAAAGCAAAGAAAATATTAAATTAATTTTAATTGATATGGATGTCCACCATCATTTGCCACATAAGATGGTGTGAGAATGTGGTAAAAGTAGCATTATTCATAATATATAGTCATTGTTCTATCAAGAAAATGTTGTTTTCGCCAAAACAAAACAAAATAATTTTTTTTCCAGAAAATGTTTCATTTTTCTCAAAGCGGTATATTGGTGAGAGGAAAATGAAACGTGAAACTACAACTGAGTTACAAGACCGTTACAAAATAAAATTCATTTTTAAATGTAAAAAAAAAAATTTTGAAAATTCCTTATAAACAAGAAAAGAAGGCAATTGCTTCAAATTATTCATTATTTTTAGTATTAATGTATCAAATAAACAAAAATGGAAGGAATTGAAAATTTAGTTGTTGAACTTCCCAAGAACTCTACAGTTTTAAATATATACTGAAAATCAAAGCACTTAAACTCAGAATTTTTATTACATTCTTGATACAAAGATCTAGCACAACATTATGTAATTTATGATATTTCATATGAGCTATGAAACAACAAAAAAACACAGAGAAAAACGAATTTGAAAACATTGAAAAAAGAAAAAAACTGAGAAAGGGTAAGAATCAAACCTCGAATAAAACGATAAAAGTGCAAAGAAGGAAAGTCAACTGCTCGAACCCTTTCTCTGGAGAAGAATTTTGGCGACTGAAGATTCAGGATCGACGAATGCGCTCACACCTTTTAGAATGGGTTTGGTTTCTGCTACTTTTTTTCTTTTCTTTTTCTTACTTTCAATTTTGAATTTTCAAAATTCAGAAAGGTTTATATAATAGCCGTTATGTTTATAAACTGTTGAGGTCCATGGTGCCCATTCATGAATTGACGTCGTTAAGTAGGGCGTTAATCCCTATACCTCCATCAGTTATGTTAATGTGTGTGTTTTTCTTTTCTTTTCTTTTTTTCTTTTTTGCGTCAAAAATGTGTGTTTTCACTACCAATAATATATGAGTAATGCTACTCTTATTACAATTATATACCACATTTTCATTCCACCTTATATTGCAGATGAAATAAGCAGCCACATCAATTAAAAAGTGTCCATAAATCATAAAAGCAAAGAAAATATTAAATTAATTTTAATTGATATGGATGTCCACCATCATTTGCCACATAAGATGGTGTGAGAATGTGGTAAAAGTAGCATTATTCATAATATATAGTCATTGTTCTATCAAGAAAATGTTGTTTTCGCCAAAACAAAACAAAATAATTTTTTTTCCAGAAAATGTTTCATTTTTCTCAAAGCGGTATATTGGTGAGAGGAAAATGAAACGTGAAACTACAACTGAGTTACAAGACCGTTACAAAATAAAATTCATTTTTAAATGTAAAAAAAAAAATTTTGAAAATTCCTTATAAACAAGAAAAGAAGGCAATTGCTTCAAATTATTCATTATTTTTAGTATTAATGTATCAAATAAACAAAAATGGAAGGAATTGAAAAAAGAGGGGGAACCTGTCAGACAACCGTGTGACCACCCCAGACAGAGAAACTGACTGAGAACGATCCTCTACGGTCATGATGATCAACAAGGACCACCAGAATGTTAATCACGCTCTGATCACACGGTCATGATTCATCCACCAGGTTGGGATTCCTGTCTCCTTAGAAATCAAGGATACAGAGGTACGATTACTATAGAACAGATCCTGTCCAAGTAAGGTCGTGGCCTCTCAGCCCTCAACTAGACATATGAAGCGCTTCGTTGTTTCGTAAAACGTCGATGTGGGACTAATAATGGACTCTTGTCGCTTTGGTCTCTCTGGTCTTCAGTTCAATTTTTTAATAGTTTGGACTCGGAGATTGCAACGTGACCTTTATTTGAGAAAGTGAGCAAGAAAAGATTTATCTATGAACAATAAAAAAAATTGTTATAAAAACTTTATTGATTTGTACAATTTATATTGCAAGGTTGTCATCATTTGGATCCTTTTTATTGGCAAAAATGTAACCAGCGTGATACTTATTTCGATGAATCAATGCGATCCTCTACTCCAAGTTTGACACATGCCTTGTGTTTTTGCCTCCAATTCTCCTCCAATACCTGTATATACAAAGAAATAGCAAGAAGTTAACAATAAATACCCTGAATTTAAAAGGCTATAGCTCAAATATTAAATAAAACTAATTGAGATATACATGCAACGTTCACTTGTCAAACTGTACGACAAACATAAGTATTAGATTGAGTAATGCAACATAAAAATATATTGTGTTTGAATATGTGGTCAAGATTGAGGCAAGTAAGACAAGCGTATACGGAATATTATCAAACTCTTTTCGGCAAATAGCATATTAAAAAATGAAGGAAAATTACTCATTATTTTTAGTTAGTATCAAATAAACAAAAATGGAAGGAATTAAAAAAGAGGGGGAACCTGTCAGACAACCGTGTGACCACCCCAGACAGAGAAGACTGACTGAGAACGATCCTCTACGGTCAAGATGATCACAACGACCATCAGATTGTTAATCACGCTCTGATCACACGGTCATGATTCATCCACCAGGCTGGGATTCCTGTCTCCTTAGAAATCAAGGATACAGAGGTACGATTACTATAGAACAGATCCTGTCCAAGTAAGGTCGTGACCTCTCAGCTGCCCGCAAGCTATATGAAGCGCTTTATTGTTCTCTAAATTGTCAATGTGGGACTAAAAGTACCTAGTGTCTCTCTCTCTCTCTTTCAACTCGAGCAAGAACAGATATTTACATTTAGATGAATATCCACCACATACTTGTAAGTTTCAATTAGGTTTCTCTGAAATTGAGCCTGTTCTGTAGTCGATGATGAGGTCTTGCGATCCTGGGAACCACTCCAACCATTTTCGACCTATCACTTGGCACATTCCTTCTTCCACTTTAATTCATTTGACTATGAAGGAAAATTAATAAGGTAACAACCTTTTCTTATCCACATTCATTATTACCTTTGGCATAATGCAATTGAAAGACAGCTTGACTTTTATGAGGGTGTGTGCAGAGCTTAAACTTGGCTGAAGAAGCATGCATGCAGCAGACATCCTGCTGGCTCTCTCTCTGCTCCCATCAAGCAATATATAAACTTTAAAAAGCCAGGCAAGGCTTTTGTTCAAAATCACTGGTAGATTGTGCTGTCACAAATCGTGGACCTTTTGTTAACAGGATGACTTCAGCTGGTGACACTTTTGGTGATGCTTTGTTTCTGTTTAAGAAATTGTGGCTGCAGCAAAGTCATGGCCACGTCTGCTCCAACAGAAGGACTTGGAATTAGAAAGAGAACTTCAGAGTCTTAACAAACCTCCTGTCAAAACCATTCAGGTACTATTCTTGATTATACACCCACTTAATCTTGTATTTGATACAATTTTTATACTTTTGATATGAGTCATCCAGCCATATGGATTTGCCTGAGTCACACTTTGATATTGTCGATCTGTTATTTTTTTCGTAGTCAAAATTATCAATGTGATTTTGATTTTGATTTTTCTTTTTTTTTCCTTTTTGTGTCGAATTAAGCTCGACGGTGATATCATAGATTGCGCAGACATCAATCATCAGCCTGCCCTCGATCACCCTTTACTCAAGAATCACAAAATCCAGGTACACTAAATAATCAGTACCTGTTGATTATTTTCATCTTTTGCTGTTGTTCTTATTTTCACCATGATTGATAGTGTTTATCACATTTGTGCAGCTAAGACCAACTTCAATTCCAGCTACTCAGACGAAAAAATCAGCCCTTGTGAATAAACCATTACAGGCAGGGTTTATGCAGGCAGGATGCCCTAATGGAACAGTTCCTATCTATAGAACCACAAAGGAATATTTAACAAGGGCAAAAAGTCTTTCACATCAGATGTTTAGTAATATCAGCCAAATTAATGCTATTGCCCCAAATGTTCATGTAAGTATTGATCACAATTTACATCATGATCTCCCTTTCTTGTACAATAACGTGTCAGGTACCTCGTACGGGAAAATGTTCCGGCCAAGATATCTTATATTGCCAGACTGTGACTTAAATTCACAGTATACCAATATAAACATTTGTTGACAACATAAGTTTAGCAAAAGAACATTACTCGTCTTTAATAAGTCTTATTGCTGGATGCTTGGTAATGCTTAAACATGCTTTGATCCTCAATTTCTGTCCAAGATTCTTCTTCATATGAGCTCCAAGATCACAATTAGCTCACATTGACATGTCGTAATGTCACAGGTCTCACCATCAATCAATGGTGGTAGCGAACCTCGATTGTTTATATATTGGACTGTAAGTAGTTTAATTTTCTCTTCTCGTTTGTTGTTTGATGTCATGTTTCCCCTTATTCAAATATGAATTCGCTTTATGCATGACATATCAATTAACAACTAGTAAATTATCAGGTCTAGCAAGAGAGAACTTTTCCATCTTATAACGTACATACTCAACATTGTGCTTATGAATCATGTTTAGTTAAATGCGGATAAGACGGGGTGCTTTAACTCATTCTGCCAAGGGTTTGTACAAGTTGACCGAGACATAGGCCCCAAAACTCGTTTCGATCCGGTGTCTAGTTTTGGTGGAACAACATACGATTCCAAATTTGCTATCTACCAGGTAAAACATCAATCTCAAAGAATCATGTTGTGTTTCTCTCTTCAAACTCCCAGTCTAATCGTAATTCTCTTTCAGAAAGTTGGAAGGTGTCACAAGTTCGAATCTTCTATTCTTAAATATCGGAAAACAAAAACAAAATTTAAAAACTTCGAAGTCAACCAAAACGGTTTCATACGTTGTTGTTTCCATTTATAGGACTCCATATCAAAAAATTGGTGGCTTGTGGTATCAGACAAGAATGTTGCGATAGGGTATTGGCCAAAGGAGCTAGTACCTAGTTTGGAAATTGGGGCTGGAGATGTTGGGTGGGGAGGAATTGCCATGGCTCAAGAGAACGAAAATGCTCCCCCACTAGGCAGTGGCCAATACCCAGATGGCACGTATCAACATGTTGGCTATTTCAGAGACATACATTTCATGAAGGATGGGCTTCACCCAAAAGTTCCAACAGACGCTGATCCTGTATTCGAGTATGCAGAAGTACCATGTTATGGTCTACAAAATGATAAAGATTCTAAGATCGCCCTTTGGGGTTATAGATTTGGTTTTGGAGGGCCTCGTTGCAATTGTACAGTTGTTTAATTTCTCTATTGGAATGTATAAAGAGGATTTTGAAATAAAGGTTAAAAGAATAAAATTCCCCCATGTAATCCAATCCAAAGTTTAAGTTTGATTTTTTTGAGTTGAATATACTCTTAATCGCTTAAGCTACAAGCCTGTTGTGAGAGAAACTTAAAATTGAACTCTTGTTCTTTTTCTCTTTCGCCACATGATGTGCCTTGGTAATTATTATTTTTTCCCCTTTTCATTGATTTTTCCCAACGAAATTTAATTTTGTGAAAAGTAAAAGTAGTTGTAGTTAGAACATGTGCATTATGGTCCAGCTTCAGCACATCCTGAAGACCAACACTCCTCAGATCTTCATAATATTGAGATGCTGCTGTTATTATGGCTGGCTGGATGGTACATCTTGTTAGAGTTATATTAAGTTTAGCCAAGTAGTCTTAAGTTGGTGTGCCAGCTGTCAATTAGTTCAGTGAGTTTGTTATTAATTTAGAACTTAAGTGAGTTTGTTATTTAACATGACGGAAATTAATGTTCTAAAATTTGTAAAGTTTCTTGTTTGAGTGATGGATTTAAAATACGGAATTTAAGCTTTATTTGTAAAATTATCTTTTTTTAAAACACAATTTCTCTTGGAATTTGAGAAATGATGATTTTTAGATAGAATTTTTAAAGTTGGGATTTATGACCTCCAAATTCCATTTTTTTCCCACACGGAATTTCTAAATTTCTATGGTTTTTTATCTAAACACGGAAATTGGTTCGTGTCAATTTAGAAATTCTGATTTTTATCAAAATCCCAAGTTTATTTCCCTCATCCAAACACACTGTTACAGAAGTGTGGATTTTCCATATTTTTATTGTTGGTGTAATGTGGGAATATATTTAAAAGTATAGCAGCAAGGCTATACGCCAAAAATAGAATATTTGAACGGTATAGCCGTGCGGCTATACTCGATAAATATAAAGAAATAGTTGGTTACACTAAAAAAAATGGAAAATAATGAGGATATAGTCAATAAGCTTGTTTTGGGCTTCTGACCAAAAAAAAAGAAAGCTTGTTTTGGGCTTAGTCATATATTTTTAAATTTTTGTTTGCTTGAGGTCATTGGGCTTTCACAAAGGCTTTAGAGTCTGTTTAATTTGTACTTAGAATTACGTTTCTACCCTTTTATTTATTAATTTATTTTTATCCAGATCTCTCGAGTCTCAGCGTGATACGAACGAAGCGTTTGTTGTCTCCGTCTCACGCTCGTATGAGGTTTTTTCACGGGAGAAGTTCCGGCGGCTTAGTGAAGGAGTGGTCTTGCGGTCGACGCACTTGCTCTTCATGGAGGACGATGAGGAGCTACGGTTATTGTTAGGGTTCGCTGCGCCGATCGCCAGAGCACAGCGAGTTTTGCAGTGAGAGAGAGAGGCTTGCACAGTGAGTTTCTTAAGGCATCCATTGTTGTCGAGGTCAGAACCATATTTTTTATAACTCTGATTAATTTTTTTAACTGTATAGCCGCCGGCTATACTCGGTAAATGTTCTTAAGAGTACAGCCGGGCGGCTATACTCCAAAATAGAATATAATAACAATATAGCCGCTCGGATATATCCTAAAATTACAATACCTTTAAAGTATAGCCGTGCGGGCGGCTATACACCACAAATACAATATCTTCACGGTTTAGCCGCGCGGCTATACTATTAAATATAATATTTGAACGGTATAGCCGCACGGCTATAATCGGCTATATCTGGTAAACGTAAAATCTTAACAGTATAGCCGTTCGGCTATACGCCAAAATATAATTTTCTTCTAATAATAATAGTGAAGAGATCATCATTGTAAAGAAAACTTATGATTTTACTTATGGATTTTCCATTTTTAAAAAAAGAAAAGGAAAGGAAGTTATATTGATTTTACTAGATATTTATCTAGTAAAGTTTTGTGGTGTTATCAGTTATGGGTTCTGCTAATTAACATGACCTCAAGAATGGCAAAACTGCTGCTCATCATGTTTGAATTTGGTTCTCTGTTTTTGTGTCAAAGCTTGAAGAAGGCGATATTATCGATTGCGTTGACACTTAGCAGCCTGCCTTCGATAACCCTTTACTCAAGAATCACAAAATCCAGGTACTTTACTAGTTAATCTATAGTAGTATTAGAAGGGAAAAAAAAAAAATTAAACACATTTTGTTAATTGTCTTACAAAATTCCAAAAATTTAAGATGAATTACAATATTTTTATGCAGCTGCGACCAACTTCATTTCCAGCTCCGGTGACTGATCCGATGTCCGAAACATGGTCTAAGAGGGAAGCATGCCCAGATGGAACAGTTCCCATACACAGAACAACAAAGGATGATTTAGAAAGGGCCAAAAATCTTGCACACCAAATGTTTCGTTAACACCGGAAACACGAATCCTCTTCCCTGGAACATTCACGTAAGTTATGCTCCTCTACGGATGATCTCTTAATTTTTTGTACAATTAATAATGTCTCATGTAATATATCTGGCATAGGCCTTCTAACATCTTTCAATATTGCTTGTTGTGAGATCACAGCAAGTATTCGTAAAATTGAAGGAAACACAAGGTGTCAAATGCTTTGGAGTTTGGGGGATTGGTTCTGTCTACAACCTAAGCTTGGATTCAGAAGACCAATCTAGCTCTGGCAATGTTTTTGTCATAAGGGGCCCGCGTAACGAACTTAATGTTCTTGTTGCGGGCTGGATGGTAATGTTTAATTTCTAGAACATCCTAACTTTCGTCCCGGGTTTTTTCTTCCATCCGTTAACATGTCATGTTGTCATAGGTTTCACCATCAATAAATGGCGATCAACTGTCTCGGTTGTATACTTATTGGATTGTAAGTTGTTGGTCTGTTGTAGTTACTAATTCTTCCTTGTTATCAGATATCTGACATGTTATGTTTTTAAACTGTTAAATTATATCACGTTAAAGAAATCAGGTTTGACTTAATTGATTGTTCAAATTGACAATCTAACATCATACAAAAATACCAAATTGTTTGGAAAAGTGAAAATTTTCTTTCTTTATAGCCACATGACTAGCTAATGTGCTTCCTCTCAATTATGCTTATGAACAGGTAAATAATGGGAAGATAGGGTGCTTTAACTTGCTCTGCGCAGCATTTGTACAAATCGACCGGACGTTTGCTCCCAAAATGCCTTTGTCACCTGTGTCTACTATTGGTGGACCATCGTATGATATGAAAGTCACTATCTACCAGGTAAACCAACAATAATTAAGACGAGGCCGAAGAAGAAAATACTTGGCACCTTCCGTACAAAGAGTCTTCCCCTTATATGTTAAGTACAAAAAAGAAAAATGTATGCACACGTATTAAGTATGATTTGTCGAAATGCTCGTTACACATTATTCACCCAAGAATGCTTTCTTTTACTAATCATGATAACATCATTGCATTAATTAATTTGTTTATTTGTACTTTTTATTTTGTAGGATACCCAAACATCAAATTGGTGGCTTGCAGTAACAGACAGGAACATTACAGTAGGGTATTGGCCAAAGGAAATGTTACCTCATTTAAGAAATGGGGCTGGAGAAGTAGGGTGGGGAGGAACTGCCATGGCTGCAACAAAACGTAGCCCCCCAATAGGGAGTGGCCAATACCCAGATGACAATTATGACCGTGCAGCCTATTTCAGAAACCCGCATTTCACGAGGGGTTGGCTTAAAGAAGTGGTTCCTTCAGAGACTGATCCTGTATATGAGTATACAGGGCAATCTGGCTGTTATGGCTTAGAAAATGGCAAGGATACTAAGGTTGAGTTTTGGGGTTATAGATTTGAATATGGAGGGCCAGGTGGTGAATGTGGGCCCTAGAAATTTTATTGAAATGTTACAGAATTTGGAAGAAATTTTATATGCTATCCAATAAAAAAAAGTTTAGGGGTTAGTTGGATTGAGCGTTTGTATTTCCTTCATCAACATTCTAATTAAATTCTTGTAGTTTCTAAGAAAACCTAGCATTCACCCCTAAATTTTTTTAGTTTCTTGTATTATCAGGAAAAAAGGTTAAAGAACAAATTTATTTTTACGATACAGGCGATATTTCAGATACAGCGATAATTACTCTTAACTACTTAACTTTTCAACTCAAAGTACAATTTAAATGCTTATGGGTATGACATTGGTGTATAATTGTATTACGAAGAAGCATTTGGTGTTTTAGAAAAAGAAAACAAATGTATATGTCAGAAATAATCTCATCCGTCCATTGTGGCCTAATCCGAAGGCACAAAAAATGTGCTGTAAATTCTTCCTCGGTATAATCAGGGGAGTTCGTAAAAACACGTTGATGATTGATCCAAGAAACGTAAGAAGTTAGCCAAAAAAAACTGATTTTGAGAGATATTTTTACTCTTTCTTTTTGGGATTTGAGAGTGTTTGAGAAATGGAGAAGAGCAGGGTATTGATAATCGGAGTGACAGGAAATCTTGGTCACCATTTGGCCAAAGCCACCCTCCAATTTTCTCATCCCGCATTTGCTCTCGTCAGGCCTTCTTCCTTCTCCGACCCTCACAAGTCCCACAAGCTTCACTCTCTCTCCAATGCAGGCGTCACACTCCTCCAAGTCTCTCTTTCTCTCTCTCTCTCTCTCTCTCTGGCTCTCATCATTTCTCTGCTAAAATGTACTGAAACTTTTTCAACTAATTCCTTCTTTCTGTTTCAGGGTTCACTTGAAGACGAAGAAAGCCTTATGGCAGCAGTGAAGCAAGTGGATGTGGTGATTTGTGCTGTTTCGTCCAAACAAGTCCTCCTTCAGAAGCTCCTTGTCCAAGTGATCAAAAAATCTGGCTGCATTAAGGTTTGGAATTTGGAAACAATTTCATTTTCTTTAAACTACCCAGTTTCTGCTTTTTAGTGAAATTTATGAACTGGTGCTGGGTTGCAGAGGTTCATTTCCTGAGAATTTGGCTTCTATTGTATAATTTCCTTTTGTTTCTTTTTCTTTTTAAATTTCCCACTTTATATTTTTAGAGAAATTTTTGTCTTTGTGGATGGTGGTGGGTTGCAGAGGTTTATTCCATCGGAATTTGGGTTGGACCCAGATAAGACTAGAATATCAGACATGGACTACAACTTTTATAAGCAGAAAGCTGAGATTAGGCGTTTTGTGGAAGCTCATGGTATTCCCTACA